TATCTCATGTCCTTCACTAGCTACATAATCTAGAATCAAGTTCACTAGTGAAAGGCGTTATCTCATGACATCAACACACGCTTTTTGGAGAATCCCCACACGCTGTATTCCCAGCCTCGGAGCCGGCGGCACATGAGGCCCGATTCGCGGGGGACCAATCAGCGACCCGAATTCTGCCGGGGCGCGTCCTATATATAACGGCGCGCCGACCCCAGATCACCAGAAGCGCACGTTCCCAGTCAAGAAAAAAAAACCCCCTTCATAGTCTCCACCATGTTGAGAGTCAGAACAGGCATTGCTTCCACCGTCGCTAAAAACTTCAGCTCCAGCGCAACGAAAATGTCCGGCACCAGAATTGAAACCGACGCCTTTGGCGAGATTGAGGTGGACGCCTCGAAATACTACGGCGCGCAAACAGCCAGATCGAAGAAGAATTTCGACATTGGCGGGACCGCCGCGAGAATGCCTACCCCTGTGGTGAGAGCATTTGGTATCTTGAAGAAATCTGCTGCCATTGTCAATGAGTCTTACGGCACTTTGGACAGCAAGGTCGCTGGTGCCATTAAACAGGCAGCCACTGAGGTTGCCGAGGGTAAGTTGGACGACCACTTCCCCTTGGTTGTGTTCCAGACAGGTTCCGGAACGCAGTCGAACATGAACGCCAACGAGGTGATTTCAAACCGTGCCATTGAGATCTTGGGCGGTGAGTTGGGCTCGAAGAAGCCCGTGCACCCAAACGACCACTGCAACATGTCGCAGTCGCTGAATGACACTTTCCCCACCGTGATGCACATTGCTGCCGTCACCGAGATCTCCAAGTCATTGGTGCCAGAGTTGACTGCTTTGCGTGACTCTTTGCAAGCTAAGGCTGACGAGTTCGCCGACATCATCAAGATCGGCAGAACCCACTTACAGGACGCCACGCCGTTGACTTTGGGCCAGGAGTTCTCCGGCTACGTGCAGCAGGTTACCAACGGTATCGCCAGAGTCGAGGCCGTGTTGCCTCACTTGTCCCTTTTGGCTCAAGGTGGAACTGCCGTAGGTACCGGCTTGAACACCAAAAAGGGCTGGGACTCTAGAATCGCTGAGGAGGTTTCCAAATTGACCGGCTTGCCTTTCAAGACTGCACCCAACAAGTTCGAGGCTTTGGCATCGCACGACGCAATTGTCGAGGCCTCCGGTGCCTTGAACACCGTTGCCGTGTCCTTGTACAAGATTGCCAACGACATCAGATACTTGGGCTCTGGCCCTAGATGTGGCTACGGCGAGTTGTCTTTGCCAGAGAACGAGCCAGGCTCGTCTATCATGCCTGGTAAGGTTAACCCTACTCAGAACGAGGCCTTGACCATGGTGGCCTGCCAGGTTATGGGTAACAACACCGCCATCACTTTCGCCGGTGCCTCTGGGCAGTTTGAGTTGAACGTGTTCAAGCCTGTGATGATTGCGAATTTGTTGAGCTCAATCAGATTGATCGCTGATGGTGCCAGGTCCTTCAGACTCAACTGTGTGGACGGCATCAAGGCCAATACCGACAAGATCGAGAAGGTGTTGCATGAGTCCTTGATGTTGGTCACTGCCTTGAACCCTAAGATCGGCTACGATGCTGCGTCCAAGGTCGCCAAGAACGCTCACAAGAAGGGCTTGACCTTGAAGGAGTCCACCTTGGAGTTGGGCGTGTTGTCCTCCGAGGAGTTTGACCAGTGGGTTAGACCAGAGAAGATGATTGGTCCTAAAGACTAAACGTGGCATCCTTCGGGCCGCATTCACGAGTTGTATATATTCATACCCAATAAATTTTATTTATCACTCTTTTCCCACGATCCTCCAAGTGGTAGAAGCTAAAACTTCCTTTTGGTTAAGAACACGGCTCTGAGAGCATGAATGGGGCTCATAACCGGGAATGCGCTAACAAGGGATGATAGTGCGAGATTTATGCATGAGCATGAATTCAACATATAACTGAGCATGGACGTGCCAGTTCCGCCATTAAAAAGTTCCAATAACCAACATTTCTTCTTTTTTCATTGACCAATTACACAAGAAATTTCTCACTTGATACAAAATGCCTTCTCCAGACTACAGCATATACCTCGTGACGGATTCCACTATGGTGCCTGAAACCAGCACGTTTCTCTCCCAGGTGAAACAGGCGGTGGAGAATGGGGCCACAATCGTACAACTTCGCGAGAAAAAGTTACTGACTTTGGACTTTGTCACGCAGGCACAAAAAGTGCATGAAATTACACGTGCACATAATGTGCCATTGATCATTAATGACCGGATCGATGTGGCTTTGGCTATTGATGCCGAAGGCGTGCATATAGGACAGGACGACATGCCAGCAAAAGTGGCCAGACAGCTTATTGGGCCAGATAAGATCTTGGGTGTTTCATGTGCATCGGAGGCTGAAACAATCCAAGTTTGTGAGGACAATGTGGCAGATTACGTAGGCTTGGGCACGATGTTTGCCACGCAGACGAAAGACGTGAAAAGCGTGGTTGGCCCAATCGGGACGCGCAGAAAGTTAGAGGTGTTGCGGAATCATAACGAAAAAAGCGCAAAGAAAATCTCGTGCGTGGGTATCGGCGGGATCAATCAGAAAAATGTCGCAAAAGTCATGTACCAATGTCGGGTCCCGGGCCAGACTCTAGATGGCGTGGCCATCGTCTCGTGTATAATGGCTGCGAAAGATGCTGGTGCGGCCACTAGGCAGTTAGTCAATAACTACCACGGCCAATTCAAATCTGACTGGGCACATTTTTCAGAGAAACTCACTTCTTTCTCGAGTAAGCCATTGGTGCATCATATCACGAATAATATCGTGAAAAACTTTAGTGCCAACGTGACCTTGGCCACCGGTGGTCTGCCTATTATGTCCGAGTTGCCTGAGGAGTTTGAGGAATTCGCTTCCTTGGACATTCCAGCGAGCTTAGTGATGAATTTGGGCACGCCAAATACAAGGTTGATGCATGTATTGACCACTGGACTCCACATTTACAATCAATATGGAAAGCCTGTCGTTTTTGATCCCGTGGGCGCGGGCGCATCCAAGCCCAGATTGAGTACCTGCAGAGAATTATTGAATGCTGGGCAATTCACTGTTATCAAGGGCAATCTCGGCGAAATCATGGCTCTCCAGAAGCTATCAATCAGCTCGCAAGTAGAGGAAAAATCGGAACAGGCCACGATGCAGGGAGTCGACTCTACAGTGGAATTAGATAGCGAGCAAGTTGGCTCGATCGCAACGAAAGTCTCTCAAGAGTTCCGCGCCGTGGTGGTTGTTTCAGGCGCAAAAAACACTATTGCCGAGTATGTTGACGAAAAGGCGTCACGCATAGCTGTGATTGACGGAGGCCATCCTATAATGGGATCTGTTACTGGCACTGGATGCTCCCTAGGCAGTGCCATTGCGTGTTATGTGGCATGTGCCAGTCACAACAAGTGTGACATCTTTGAAGCTGTGGTGGATGCAGTCAAGTTCTACAATGAAGCCGGTGCTCGTGCAGGCGCTCAAAGTAAAGGACCTGGTCAATTTAGTTCCAACTTCTTGGACGAATTGGCACTGGGGCAAGCGGCCAGAGAAGCGTGAATTATTTTATCCAATGTGTGATACAAGTGAATGTTTTCTTCGTTTATTTCTTCATGGGCAGAAGCGAATCAAAATCATCAGCTTTTTGTCACACCACATACCATAATAGGTAGTAGTTCAGCATTATATGCTGTTTATTTGCCTTAATATCAGTTATCTATGTACATACTCAGCTAATTTGCACGAATGGCGTGCACCGGTAAAACCATCAAATAAATTCCGAACTCTCCACTTATCTTGAGCTTTAAAAGTAGGGCAAAGAAGCATGAAAATCAATCTTGTTTTGTAGTTTTGCGACTTGCGGTCACCTGGAGGGCTCTGGCTGCAAAATATGGAGTCACGGTCAAGCCGCCTAGGCCCTTTACTCAACAATGCCACAATGCCAATCTTGAGGGTCAAGCACGAAAAAACACAGGGCTGTACTTTGGAAAAGTCTACCTTGGACTATAAACCGATACTTTCCGACGAACGACGTCATGACATGGGTACGTTCATGCATTACTTGTCGCCCCACATAAACTGTGCCGCACTTGTTCAGTTTTGGCGAGACCAGTACACGATCGTAGACACGGCAAGGCAATGCGTTTTTGTAAATTATACAAAAATTAGGTATTCTCACCGAATTATATGTTGGCTCCAAGATGAATATGTGATTTGTAGCAGGATTTCATGTGTCATGTCTATGGGTATGAAAATATTGAAAACGTAAAGCTCATTGACGACACTAGAGAGATGAGAGCTATCGTTTTATGAGACATTTTGACAAATTGATGAAGTTTGCTTGTCAAGAGGCACAATTCTTTCACAACAGTTTAACAGGTGGATGGCGACTCACAGATACGTGCCATGTCGAAACGAATTTCACAAAAGAGGTTGTTAAAGCATCCGTACCATCCCTCATCTCTCATCAATTTTCGAAGAACTAATCATGAACGAAAATTGCCCTGCAAGTTTTCATGGATTTATTTATTTCAAGCAAGAAAAAGAAACCCCCTTACGACTTTTTATTCTTAAAGATATTTCACATCAGAGGACGCTCTCGTCAATGTGTGACAGGCATACCCAAACATTCGCAAAAACAATACAACACATAGAAAAAGCCCATAAAAGATCGCAGCCTCACGCCAGGCATCGAAATCAATCAAACTACCAATTCCATTTGGGAAACGAATCAAGATGTCTAAGATCAAAATACTAAAAAGATCTCCAATATGTTTGCAAATTTTGTGACAATTATCAAGAAAAAGGGCCGCGTATATATAGACGAAGCGTTTTCAATGCTTTGAATCGTGATTTGAATTTTTCAATATAATGTGAAAATTGAGAATTGAACACTGACCTCCTAATCCATGAAGTTTGCCTCAGTTTAATTTGTATAGTCATTTATTCCTCAGAAAGCGATACCGAATATGGCATTGTGGCCGAGTGGTTAAGGCGATGCACTCGAATATTTCGGGCACATGCATTGGGATTTCCCGCGCAGGTTCGAATCCTGCTGATGTCGCTATTCTTTTTTTGCTGGTCTTTTTTAGTACGATTTGTTTCTTTTTTCTTTTTTTTTTTTCGAAAAAAAGGTGTTAAAAAAAGGAGGTGTCTACGAAATTAGGAGCAGCAGCCGTACCTGTTTGAAAATCATATGTCAGCAGTATTAATAGGTACTATAGAAATTACGGTGGGATGGCACGCGTGGCAACATGATCTCAAGGGTCATACAAACTGCTTTTTGGTAAATAAGATGTATTGAGAAGTAAGTGATAATTAGGCATATTCATGCAGTAATACATGAAAGTTAGAATTGGTCTCAAAAATAAGTGGGACGTTCATGATTATGAGATAATTCAATCAACCCTGGTTGCAGCTTGTCGCGACTGTGTAAAACAGTCCTGCCTCCAAATATCACATCTTTCTAGTGAAAATAGAAAAAGCAATGATAATATCCTTTTATGAAGCGTGATATAAGGTGAAGAGTCTTTTGTCGCGTGTTTCTCACTAAAATATGGACGAGTCATCTCTTCAACCAAGATCAACCAAGATCTTTATCGACTGGTAGCTCTATCACGAAAGTCGATTCCACGTGAGCGATCATCACCGAGATTTTTCGATGTCAAAAGTTTCATACTTGTCTAGCTATAGCAACTCTAGGTCTGCCATCATGCAAATGTGGTCCGACGGAAACATGCCTAATCTAGGCTGTGCACAATCCGGTCGCCCCAAATTCTCGCACGAAGGCATTTGAAGAAGTGCCATGAGTCTCATCTGTGTCTCCTGGGTAAAATGCGTCAATGATTCTATTTTGGTACTTGCCTCACCATCCCACTCGGTGACCACAAAAATGTAATCCAATAATTCCTGCGAATGCGTACCCCAATGAGAAAACCACGGCTCGTTAGTGATTGGCTGACAGTTTTCACCATCCACTGACCCGTACCCAACAGAGTATAATGAGATGGCTCTTGCATTGATTCTATTGTGTAAATGTTCAAGTGTGGCGACTCTTTTCACGGTTTCTGGTGTTTTCGAGTAGGGCCGGGTTCTGTGGTCACGGCCATCCTCCATGCGCCAAAGAAACGTGTTCATTGAGACGATGAGCTTATCGTGAGCCCAGCGAGGGAATTGCACCGGTTTTGAAACTAGCGATATATACGCTGCGTCATCTACGGTCGAGTTGAAATCGCCCGCTATGAAAGTGTAGAATTGGAACGGAGTCGCCGCACACGCTATTCGAACGGAATCTGCGAATTGTTGTGTGGCGGTCATCAATGAAGCAGTAAATTTGGTTCTTTCCGCGGACCGGACGCCTCTCAGAGGTAGGTGAGTAGTCCCCACAATAATAGCATCTTTTGACGGTAGCTTAAACCCATCAAGAAACTCTTTTCTGAATTGCAAACAAATGAATAGCGCTCCGTGACGAGAGGCTGGTTCTACTTCGTGCCCCACATTGAAAGGCAGAAATGTAGTGCTTTCATGGTCAAATTCTTGGAAAAGCTCACATTTATAGCCGATTGCTATTGAGTGATATTTATTTGGATGTGCCACCCGTAGAATGTACCCATACCTTGCAAATCGTTCTATCCATCTGGAATGATCCGAAAGTTCCTGAAGACAAACAATGTCTGGATTGTACCGCGCGATTTTGTTCATGAGAATGGTGGACCGTGCGTACTTCGGGGTAGGGTATTTCTCCCATTCACAGGGCTCAAACAAATTATAGGTCATGATCGATAATTGCGGCCCATTGGTATATTCTGATTCCTGAATCCGCAACATTGGCCTATACCAGCACAAGTCATTGAGTCTCCGCCGAACGATAGGTGGACATTTGTCATGAGATCTTACGAACAGCCATTCTGCCTCGGCCATAGCTTTCTTTGCTAAAGGCCTTCTTTGATAAAAATAAATGTATTTGTGAGACGTGCCGAGTCTAGCATTTGTCAAGCGAGTGGCCGTTGGAATGCTAAGATGCAAAAAATGAGGATGTGTTAGAGATTATGAGATACGATGACACTTCTTTGGCTGATTTTCACTTGTTTCGAGCCGACTCCACCAGACGATTCTTCTAGTATTCCACTTTAATTGAAAGCACGTCCTCCAGGCCAGTGATAATCCCGATATAGTGTAGATGAATAATGGGCATCTCAAGATCTGGACCATCGCATGGTTCTTGTCCCCGGCGACGATCTGTCGATAGTACACAGGACGAGCCTGCACAACAGAGATCATTCTGATCAATAGACAATAAAAAAACAGCACTCTGCATAGTTACGTAACCAATAGAGCAGAGGTTGATTTGATTGGTCCGATGAGGTTCAAATGATCGGTCGAAAATTCAAGAGATGAGATGGGCCAGGTGAACACTCCATGACTTCTATAACTACAGCTGCGAATTGAAAACAAAATCTTTGCGCTGGCTATTTGGTTTCATTTTCCTAATTTTCAATTTCACATTTTTAGTAAAGTGGTCACATGCTCAGATAAGTGAACTCTTTCTTGATTTCTTTGACTCGAAAAAGTTTTGCCGAAACTAAATTCAAGTCTCTTCGATTTGAGATCTGCCGACGTGAGCTTTGAGAACTAAGGACCATTGTAATGCCTAATATAGATCCGAGACAGCCAAAAAAAGCCTTTCGAGCCTTTGAGTGCCTCAGTATTCACTATGAATCAATAAAGTTTGATGCTTTTTGGGTAGCCAAACTGTGGAGCCCGAGTTTCACGAAACAGCTCAGCCTCATACTACCCATGACTAAAATTCCTTGTTTGACTTACCAAAATCGCGGCCAGAAATCCAACCATTGTAAAGACAAAGAGGCTTCGGTCTCATAGTGACGAAATAATGGTGTGCTGTATCCAAATCTTAAATAGCGCTATACTAGATTAGCTGCAAAAAAAGAGTGGCACGTGCTCTGTATAGGCCAATCTCGCGGCCGCGTGCGCCACCCATGGTGCTTTATCTAAATTCTAGATAGGCCCCGCGCTGTGCGGCCTCAGCTCAGCTCGGTTTCAATTCAGAACGCTAAAACTTCACTAATCTCGCGTCCGCAGACTCCGACGAAAGTGGATAAATTCCTTGGGTTTACAACACTGGGTGTTGCTTCAAAATCAATAAACCAAACATATCGGATGAAAAGCTGGTCAGGTAAGGCAAATTCCTTATCACATTTCAACTGTTATCATTGTCATTGTCGCAGATAAGCGTCTTATTATCTATTAGCAACTTCCAGGCAAGTCCACAAAAGGCGTTTCAAAATGGTCATTCAAGGCAAAACAGGAAAAAAGGTTGCAAAAACCGAGCCGCCTCGACCATCACCTGTGTCACGGATCGAGAAAATTGCATCTTTAAAGCGATATCCGGATAAGGATTATGCATTGGATTTACTCCACCAAATGGCACGGGCAGTGGCGCCGTTGATCCATGAATATAAGTTCAAAGTAGGCACACTTTGCGAGATGTTCCCTAAGCTGCCAAATCTTCTTGGGTTGAATGTAAACCGTGGGCAAAAAATCCTCATCCGGTTGCGGCCGCCTCATAACGACCGGACGTTCTTCCCCATGGGGGACCTTATCGGCACGTTTCTTCACGAGCTCACACATAATGTGCACGGTCCGCATGACGCGAAGTTTTATGCGTTTCTAGATGAGCTTCGGCGGAAATACGAAACAGGAGCGTTTTCAACTAAAGATTATGTCTGTGAAGAGAGCAAGTTGGGTGGAGGTTTTCAGGCCCCATGGGCAACGCCACAGTCGATGCGCCAAAAGAGGCTTGAAGCATTGTCTAAAGGTATGTACAAGGCCGAATCACGTAGAGTCGGCGGCAAAGCCCCTGTGGGTGACCTTAAAAAGGCAATGTTGGAGGCCGCAGAAAGACGGCTACGAGATTCTAAATGGTGTTCGCAAAATCAACACGTGGAAAGTCTCAATGAGGATGATGATTTGGAAGTGCAGGTGCTTTCACCAATGAAAAGAGGGAGCCCTACACCAGCCTCGGATCAGACTTATAAGGACGTGATTGATCTCACAAAGGAGGAGACTGGGGACGATGATAATATCGAGATTATTGCTGTGGATGCATGTGAACACGACTCCGCTCAAAAGAGCGGGTTGGCTCTGCTACGACCATCGATTCTCGAGGAGTCGTCTTTCACCGCCGGAAACTTCGAGATGCGGTCAACTGTGCGCTACTACGTGTCAAGCTCTCCAGGTAGAACATTCATAGGAGACGAGATGCGCTCACGGCGCAAGGTTGTGGCGGACCTTGATTTCGAGCACATCATTGAAAGCTCGTCGTTTGTAGAGGTGTCAAGTCTGCGTTCAGAAGCGGGGAATTTGATCGAATGCCATTCCTCCGAGTCCAGCATTTCTTCAATTGAGAGCCCATGTGACGTCTTGGGAGCGATTTCAGGGAATACAACGGATATGAAGGGCAATTCTCGGATGAATGAGGCACAACTGGTTGAAGTCAATACGCTCAAAGGGAATTCGAAATCAAAAAAGGCAAAATCTGTCGAATCGAGATCGCTCAAAGAGAAAACATCAAGCAAAGCAAAGAATCAAAATGGAGGAAAGAGGAGAAATGGGGCTCTGCTGGGCGCAGCGACCGCCAGTGGCGAAAACGCAAAGTGTAATAAGCGGCAGGGAAAAGTGTCGAGCAAGGACCAGAAAAAAGAACTAAAATCTAAACTGATAAGAAAAAAGAAAACCAGCAAGGAGCCGCTGGCTGCCGAGAAAAAGAAACGAGCCCGCAAGGAGGTACGGTGTGTTTCATTCCTGGAATTATTTTAAAACTAGCGCCCAGCGCGATAGTTAATAACGGGCTCGCGGGGGTGATACGAGAACGAAAGTGGCAAGTGGAGAGCGCGCGCACGTGACTTTTGCGTGGGAGCGGCACACGGAACGAGGTGTTATGCCATTATCCTGAATCAGGCCACCTATAAGAAAAGAGCACCACATTAGCCTCTTCTTTTTTTCTTTCTCATTGATAGACTTTCGAGAATGCAGAAAACTGATTCC